AAGCGAGAACAGCTGTAGATGGATTAAATTTGTCTGGTCGCTGATTGGGCAGCTTTAGTCACCTTTGGCAAAACCATCTCTCCATCTATTCTCAGCCAAGCTAATTCAGTAAATGACACATATGAAGAGCTACTTACATTGTATAGACAAACATAAAAAACAATTACTTCCAGCTTTATTTAAGTACTCCCTTAGAAATCTATTAAGAGAGGCTTTAGTTTGGATATACAGTACATCAGTCCCTTTATCTGTTAATGTTTTCAGCAGTAGACACGGGAATCTTGTGAAAGGTTGAAAAAATAAAGTGGATAACAAGGATGAAATGAAAATGTCTGACCTCATAACATTGTTGGAGAGTGTCTAACCTTTATGATCAGACTTGTTGCAGTTCTATGTCTATATCTAGTTTCTACTGACCTTTAACATGCTAATTATTTTCTCTGTATCCCAGATACTAAAAATAGGAATAAAAATCAGTATATTTCGGGTAAAAAAAAAGTGTCTGAATTAATTGCCCAGAACGATAGGAATTATACACTAATGTGAAATAAACATATGTTTACAGATTACAAAATCTAGTTTATGTATAATATATATAAAACCCAGTTTCTAAAGTCACATAATGTACAACGTGGTAAAGACATTTTAAAAGTTAATATGAGTGGCAAATGAAAGGCAAACATTTGAGTATACATATAAAAAATATAAATACCTTTCTATTCCTTTTTAAAAGTGATTACTACCCTCAGTTTTCAGCTGTTTAAGGAGCTCAGGCAGCTGGGGGGGGGGGGGGGGGGAAGCAGTACACTTGTCTTCCTAGTAATTGGCTGTGCTGGGGGGGGTTGGGTGCGTGTCGGCACAAGTCTAATAACTGGAGGAGAGCAGATTGAGCTCCCAGCACAGCCAAAAAACTAACCATACTGTGCTCTTGTGCGTAGTGTGGTAAGCTTTTAATAAGAGAACAAACAGAGGGAAGGGCAGGAACACCAGGGATTTCACACGAAGGAAGCAATGCAAAGAGAATAGGATACTCTTTCATACAAGTACATGGTACAGCAGGCACATGTCAGGATTATCAAATGTTAAGGTAACATATTCTTTAAAGTAGTACCTGGTGGTCCAGCCAAGAGGATCAGTTTTCAGGCACTTCCTGTTATAGGGTGACCCCTTCTCCCAGTTGTGCTCCTTTATTGTAACCTGTCACACAGGCTATAGAGGGGGAATACAATTGTTTGTTTCAGCACACATTACCTAGGCATGTGTGTAGGCAGGTTGCTTACTGTAGGTTAGTTAGTGTTGGCTGCTGTAGCCAGGGGGAAGGGGTTCATATTTTCCCTGGGCTTAGTTTGCAGGCTTTTCTGGGTCTTGTGTTATTATAAAAAGGACAGGGATTTGGATCCCCAAAGAGAAGGGGAGTAGAGAGCCGCCAGAGAGTCTGCATAATGATACCATGTGAAAGGGTCCACACTGAAGACATCAACTTTTCGGGACATCATCACCAAGGATCGCCGCCACTTTGGACTTACAAGTATTGGTCTTTACCCATGTAACTATGCTGGGGCAGCCATAGTTAGTATTAGTTAGGGAAACTGGTATACTGCGTTTCGTCAGTAAAGTCTTTTAAACCATTATTCTGCCTGGTCTGCAGTTATTCTAAAGGGGTGTAGGAAAGTAACCAGCAACCAACATACACGACAGACAACAACAACCAACAGACACTTGATGCTTAGGTCAGTTAAAGCACATTGGGGTATGAAGTCAGTCTCTTCAAGAGTCAACATGGTTTGGAAGAGAAGGAAGTGGTTGTCAAGAGTAACTAGGGGCTAGTTTCTAGTAGAAGCATCCTGTCATGAAGCATGGTACCTGCACTACGTAGCGTGTCGTTTTGTAGTGAGGGGGTTGCTTCTAATAGTATCACAGAAGCCCTTGGCTTAGCCATTGGGCATGGAAGAATAAGAGGAACTAAGTGCACGCATGAGGTCTGTGCGGTAGGACTCCATTCTGTTACTGGGAGTGAGGTAACAGAGGTACATTGGATGGGTGGAGTGTGCAAAGCTCAGCATGTCCCTCCTAAATGCAACAGTTGCAGTCAAGTTTGCACTAGCTAGAGACCAGAAGGCTAGCTGAAATTCGGATTATCCACTCAATGTGCACAGTGTTCAGCCCATCTCTAAGTTGGAGGGACAGTTTAACAGATTGACTTTCCCTGAAAGCGGTCCCATCCTTGTCCTGGGACACTGATGAGTGTGACATGGCAAAGGTACCCCACATGCAGGGTGAGTAACCCCACCCACAGTGCTTAGCAAAGCCCAGAAGAACTCAATAACTCCCACCTTGCCCTCATGTTCCACTGTTGTCACCATCAGGAAGTCATCCTTAGGAAAGGCCATGCAACAAGCCCAGGAGTAGACAGTAGACCGTAAGGCTATGTTCACTTTCTGTGCATGTTCCAACACACAGACATGTATTGCCCTATAGAAGATGTGTGGCGGTGCCATTATTATTTCTCAGAGCGATCAGAACTGAGCGATCAGCAGGCATGTGATCTCTCAGTACTTGGTCTTAGAGCCATCAGGGTGAGTAAGTTTGTTTGTTTTGCCATACTTCTCCTTTAAATCTCTCACTACACTAATATAACTCGTACATCACAGTAATTGAAAGAGAATGGGCTCCCATCCCTCTGTGATTGGGCAGAGTCAACCAGGCTTGTTTCAAGGCTGCAGAAAACAGCAACAGATATGTGTCGGTTGCCAGTAATTCATCTAAGACCTAATTTTAATTTCATTTAGGGCCGTTTCACACAGGGATTGCACAGGAATGAGCATCCCATGGAGAACATTTTAACAGCACATTTGCATAGGCTGCAAAACGCACTGGACTGTGCAAAAAGTAGTCATTGCACTACTCTTAAAAAATGCACTATACCACAACGCATGGTACTGGGGTACCATTTGATTTGGTGCCCATAAACGCACTGCATTTGTGATCTGCTTCTGGGGTACCGACATGGAGATTACAAGGGTAATGCGTTTGCAAATGCAGTGTGGGAAATTCGCATGGAATGCCCTTTTCTGGCACCATATTCTGGTGTGAACAAACCCTTAGATTTTTATTCAGATTATTACAGTGAGGCGTTTTTGTTTGGAAACAAAGTTGAAATTCTCCATTAAATGAAGTAAAAATGTTACAAACTATCTTAACAACGTATAATGGTCACCAATAAAAAAAATAAGTGTGCACAGCAGGATGGCATGGGAGATCTTTGTCTTTGACACCTGGAACACATTGGAGCAGATTATATTCCTGACCACATCCTGAAATTTAGTGTTGGGATCAGTTTTCCTCTCCCATGCAGTAATTCAGACCCTCCATACACATTTTACTACCGCTGTTAAAAATCGAGGTTCGAAGCTGAACATGAGGAAGTGTCTAAAAAAACCTTTTATATGCCACTGCTGTCATAGTTAACATACAGGTATAAAGCAGTGCCCAACTACAAACAATGGAACTGGTCAAACTAAAAGGAAGTATATGTGTGTGAAAACATTTAGCCGCTTCAGCATTTGTCAGTTAACTTAATGTAGAACTTTTTTTTCATTTTGGATAAAGCAAGATAAGGTTATAACCCGTCAGACTTTTTTCACCATCTGTGTCCTATTGCGGAGATTTCCCTTCACTTCCTGTCCCCATAGCCAAACAGGAAGGGAGAGGATATCCTTGCCAATTAAGGAAATTCCTTGGGGACCCCCAGGTCACCAGTACTAGTGTCTCCATTGGAAGATTTCCTCTCTATTAGTTTTCTTTGGACAACCCAAAATTTGGGATATTCTTTTACTTTCACTTTCAATGTGAACGGTACACTGGACAAATAAAGAGGGTGAAACGGGGGGCAGACATAGACATACACATACATCTACACTATATTGCCAAAAGTATTGGGACGACTACCTTTACACACACATGAACTTTAATGGCATCTCAGTATTGAATCCCATAGTGTTCAATATTGAGTTGGCCCACCCTTTGCAGCTATAACAGCTTCAACTTCTGGGAAGGCTGTCCACAAGGTTTAGGAGTGTGTCTATGGGAATGTTTGACCATTCTTCCAGAAGCACATTTGTGAAGTCAGGCACTGATGTCGGAGGAGAAGGCCTGGCTCACAGTCTCCACTCTAATTCATCCCAAAGGTGTTCTATCAGGTTGAGATCACCCCAAACTTACTCATCCATGTCTTTATGGACTTTGCTTTGTGCACTGGTGCACAGTCATGTTGGAACAGGAAGGGGCCTGTCAGCACCTGTGGTAGTGAGCTCTTGATCCACAACTTGGGTTTCCCCAGGGCGCTGAGTCTAGGCCGGGAGAGCAGGAGAAGACACAGGGAATCCAGTAGGCAAGCTGAGGCCAGGACAGGAGGAAGACAAGCCGAGGTCAGGACAGGCGGAAGGCAAGTAGGGTCAGGAACAAAGCCGGGGTTGGTACACAGATAGACTATATAGGATTCACAGTAGTAACACAAGGGAGCTCCTACAACAAGACGTTGCTCAGGTAAAGTGTGACAGACTGAGCATGTCTTAAATAGACAAGCCAGCTAGGAGGCGGGCCAAGAAGTGATAGAAGGGAAGGCCATAAAACCCAGAGGATAGCAGACGACGCCCACAGGTGAGCAGAGACAAACACACATGTGAAGGAATCAAGAGCAGCAAAGAGGTAAGAATAAACACACAAGAGGCTGCAGGCTAACTTGTGACAGGGCCATCCCTAAACTGTTCCCACAAAGTTGGAAGCATGAAATTGTCCAAAATGTCTTGAAATAAGGGGCCAAGCACAACCTCTGAAAAACAACCCCACACCATAATCCCCCCTCCACCAAACTTTACACTTGGCACAATGCAGTCAGGCAAGTACTGTTCTCCTTTCAACCGCCAAACCCAGACATGGCTATTGGATTTCCAGACAGCGAAGCATGATTCATCACTCCAGAGAACACGTCTCCCCTGCTCTAGAGTCCAGTGGCAGCGTGCTTTACACCACTGCATCTGACGCTTTGCATTGCACTTGGTGATGTAAGGCTTGGATGCAGCTGCTCGGCCATGGAAACCCATTCCACGAAGCTCTCTACGCACTGTTGTTGTGCTAATCTGAAGGCCGCATGAAGCTTGGAGGTCTTTAGTTATTGACTCTGCAGACAGTTGGCGACTTCTGTGCACTGTGCGCTTCAGCATGCCCTGACATCGCTCTGTCATTTTACATGGCCTACCATTTCGTGGCTGAATTGCTGTTGTTCCCAGTTGCTTCCACTTTATTATAATGCCACAAACAGTTGACCGTGGAATATTTAGTAGCAAGGAAATTTGACAGATGGACTTATTGCTCAGGTGACAACCTATCATGGTAAAACGCTTGAATTCACTGAGCTTCTGAGAGCGACCCATTCTTTCACAAATGTTTGTAGAAGTAATCTGCATGCTTAGGTGCTTGATTGTATACACCTGTGACCATGGAAGTGATTGGAACACCTGAATCCAATGATTTGGAGGGGTGACCCCAATAGTTTTGGCAATAGTAAATATTCTCAAGAATTTGCTGATTCTTGCCACTGGAATCCACTGCATGACCATAATTGCCTGTGTGAAAGAGACCCTAATGACAGTGACTTTACACAAAGGTGTTTACTTCTTCATCCCCCCACTCTTGGCTCATGCTCCTGCGTACTCCATCTTTGTATTTATACACTCACCGGCCTCTTTATTAGGTACACCTGTTCAATTGCTTGGTAACACAACTTGCTAGTCAGCCAATCTCATGGCAGCAACTAATGCATTTATGCATCTAGATGTCATGAAGACGACTTGCTGACGTTCAAACCAAGCAACAGAATAGGGACGAAAGGAGATTTAAGTGACTTTGAACATGGCACGGTTGTTGGTGCCACACGGGCTTGACTGAGTATTACAAAACTACTGATCTACTGGGATTTTCATGCACAACCATCTCTAGGGTTTACAGAGAATGGCCCAAAAAAGAAAAAATATCCAGTGAGTGGCAGCTGTGTGAATGAAAATGTTTTGTTGATGTCAGAGGTCAGAGGAGAAAGGGCAGACTAGTCTGAGATGATAGAGAGGCAACAGTAATTCATTACAACCAAGGTATGCAGAATACCATTTCTGAATGCACAACATGTCGAACCTTGAAGCAGATGGGCTACTGCAGCAGAAGACCACACCAGGTGCAATTCCTGTCAGGTAAGAACAGAAAACAGAGGCTACAATTCAAACAAGCTCACCAAAATGGGAGAATAAAAAATTTGGAAAAATGTTCCCTGGTCTGATGAGTCTCTATTTCTGCTGCACTATTCAAATGGTAGGGTCAGAATTTGGGGTAAACAACATGAAAGCATGGATCCATCCTTCCTTGAATAAATGGTTCAGGCTGGTGGTGGTGGTGTAATAGTGTGAGGGATATTTTCTTGGCACACTTTGAGCCCCTTAGTACCAATTGAGCATCGTTTAAATGCCACGGCCTACCTGAGTATTGTTGCTGACCATGTCTATCCCCTACAGTGTACCCATCTTCTGATGGCTACTTCCAGCAGGATAATACACCATGTCACAAAGCTCAAATCCTCTCAAAATGGTTCCTTGAACATGACAATGAGTTCACTGTACTCCAATGGCCTCCACAGTCACCAGATCTCAATCCAACAGAGCGCCTTTGGGATGTGATGTAACAGGAAATTCGCATCATGGATGAGCAGCCACCTAACTGCAGCAACTGTGTGATGCTGTCATGTCAATATGGACAAAAATCTCTGAAACCTTGTTGAATCTATTCCACAAATAATTAAGGCAGTTCTGTAGGCACAAGTGGGCCCAAACCGGAACTAGCAAGGTGTACCTAATAAAGTGGCTGGTGAGTGTACAGTATATGCACATTTAGGACAAAGAGTAAGATGCAAAACTGCTCCTTCCTATGCTGGCCATACACTAGGCAATATGAAGGCTTTCAATCAGCTTTAAACAGCTATTTCAAAGCTTTCACTAGCAGCAGATAATTACAATACAATGCAAATTGATATAAAAAAAAATGAATGCTACTAAAAAGGCATTTTCCATTGGTTAGTTTGGTTTGGTCACTTTATTCCAGGACACATATGTGGTTCAAATGCAGCCACAGAGTAAATGTGAGCTGTGACACAGTAATGCCATAGAACACCATTGTTTTTCAGTAGTCAAAGCAGATGCCAGATTTTGCCTGGTGGTGCTCAAAGCTCTAGGCAAACTTTAATCCCTGTAGGGAAAACCTGTTAAATTATTGATTTTAGGGTTTTTTGCAAGCTTTACTTGATTTAGATCAGAGTAGTCAGATATTTCTTCTATAGAAAAAGTATTATTTTAGTTTTTTATGGAAAATAAGAAGTCTGTCTTGTTTCAAGCCTGTAAAGACTCTGGTGGTGGGTGGGTGATGTCACGACAAGGCAGAAGCAGGCTGAGTAATGAGACCTGAAAATCCCACAGCTGGTAACCTAATAATGTCTGACCTTGTGAATTTAACCTTGTAACCAATACGACCATTTGTTTCCCTGGTTTAACCATATGTGCTTTATAAGGTCCCAACTTCCCATAACGTACAAATGTGCCAGAAACTTCTTGATTTAATTTAAATTACATTTGTGTGTATCTTTCTGGAAAAGCTCCTTTCAAATAATACAAAATATAACAGACGTCCTTTTTATATATATATATATATATATATATATATATATATATATATATATATATATAAAATCCATCCAGAACACTCTTACTGAACGCAGACATATCAAAGTGCTCTACGTCAAAGCAAACCTGTCCTAACAAAAATAATGGGCTGCCATTGCCTACAGCTCCTTCTGAAAATGCTAATTGCCTAGCTGTCATGCCAGCTTCTACAGTCCATACTTTCAGGATAGGTTCACATCTATGCAAATTGAATTTGAGGTGTTTCTGAATTGCATTTTTGATGCATTTTGTAGGGTTTTTTTTTTTTTTGTTGTTGTTGCTAGGCATACTTAAAACGCAAAACGCATCAAAAGCGTTGCAAAAACAGCAAAAATGCAATACATTCTTTTCTGCAGCATTTCCATTGAAGTCTATAGAACCAAAAACACAACTTTTTGCATTCAAAAAAGTCCCTGACCCTTTCAAAAAACGTACCAGGTGAAAACGCTCAGATTTGAACATGTCCCATTGGAAATCATGTTAAATGGACTGTACTGCGTTTCTGCAAAACACTGCAGAAAACGCTTAGCTGTGAACCTAGGTTCAGAGTCACTGACCCCAAGAAAGCATGAATATTGCACCCCACAGACTACCACTCTGGGCCTCTTAGGACCTAATAGATTGCCACCTAATTCTTATGACAACACTTATCTGGCATCTACTACCCCACTACCCAACAACCTTTAATCTTAGCCTTTGGACAGGGTGAGCACCCTCTCTTTATCATTCAATGAAGAAAGCTTACTTCTGCAACTATGAAATATTTTTTAACATTATTGCTTTCAAAAGCAAATTTTGATGAGACTCTTAGACGCCTTGTCTTTATCTCTCTAATGTATGCTTTGTTAATATTCTCTAAAACTATTGCCCTTAGAACACACCAACAACACTGAGAAAGCAAACATAGTTATTTTTTTATTCTCAGAAGACTGGAGAATTGAATGGGAAGTTACCACCAAAAGCTCTAAGAACATTTAGCCCTACAAAATTCTGTTTCTGTAGAGGCAGTGCTACACTCTGGTCCAATTAGCACAGTTTATCTCAGCATACCCCCACCACTCCCAATCTGGTACAATGGTGCTTCCCTGTTGGTTTTGCCCAAGGTATGTAAATGCAACACATTACTATACATTAAGGCAGCCCATACATTTTGAATAATCTGGTAGTGTACACTAACACCAAACATGACTTTTTTACAGAAGAACTATAAGCAAAACTTTTTTATAAAATTGTGGATAGCAAAAAGGAAGGTTACAAGATTCACCTTCACTTCCTGTCCAATAGCCAAAACAGGAAATGAGAGGAAATCCTTTCAAATAAAGGGAATCTGTTGGGGCCCCCTCAGGTCACCAGAACTAGTGTCCTCATTGAATGATTTCTCCTCTATTACTGTTCTGGGGACAACCCAAAATGTGGGACTTTCTATTACTTTTGCTTTTGATGATAACGGTAAATAGGACAAATGAGAGGGTGAATCTCCCTAATAGGGGAAATAAAAACCAACAGGTGTTCTAGCCCATCTCCACTCTAGAGAAAACAAAAAAAAGTTTTGCCTATAGTTATACTATAACACAGTGCATTGATGTGCCATTAAAAATAAACAGGATGGAAATACTGCACTTTGCACCTTACCATGTGCTACCACATTGTATAAATGTGAATGTGCCCTTAACCTGAAATTTCTTTAAGTCATTTAACTGGCTTTCCCTAGTACTTATTGGTGGCACTGCAGCATCTTGACAAGGGTTTCTTTTCGACTTTTCTCTTTGAACTACAAGGGACAGTGCATATAGCCTGAAAACATTTGGCTGTTTTTTCTCATTTAGAGACACAAAAAAGGATTCAATTGACAGCTAACAATAGAAGATGAATGTCAAGAAGAAAATTAGAGCCACTTAGTGGTGGCTCCGACATTAAATACAAAAGCTTCCCAACTGACTGGAGGGTAATAAGAGGGTAATAATTAAATAACTAAAGTAGTTAGTATATTGTAAGTGCAGGAAAGTCTGTCTGCAGATTATCAACTTATGGCTGTCACTTGATAGAATCAGAAAGACATAGTCTGGCTGAAAAAATACAAAAGTCCATCCAGTTCATCCATAAAAAAAAAGTTATAATTCTTCACCCACATTTGATCCAGATGAAGGCAAAAAAACGAGCAAAGCATGATCCAATTTGCTCCTGCAGGGGAAAAAAATTCCTTCCTGATCCCCCGAGAGGCAATATGATATTCCCTGGATCAACTTTACCTATAAATGTTAGTATCCAGTTATATTCTGTGTATCCAAGAAAGAATCCAGGCCTTTTTTAACCTCCCTGGCGGTATGATCATGTCAGGAATTTTGTGCTGAAAGCGGTACCATTTTTTTGCATGGAAATATGTAGTTTTTAATTGTAGGCTGTAATTTTTAGGAATAACTCACTGAAATCTGTCCGAACAAGAGTCTATTAAACATTCCGGATATGATAAAACTTGAAACACAAAATATTAAATTATAATTTAATTAATAATCATAAAAAATAATAATATAATAATAATCAATTTAATTCAATAATATAATCAAACCAAAAACACTGAAATTTGAAATACAGAGGCAAATTCGCACATCGCTG